TAAGCTGCGAGCTGTCTACACTGGCCGCTTGCTTTTCCGGAAAAGCAATGACGATCTACTGTAAAATTGTCAGTGTTTTTCCGGAAAAACTATGCTGCTCCCATTCGGGCAAAAGTCCTTTTCTGGAAAAACTGTTCCAGAAAAGGGCCAGTGTAGACAGCACAGTAGTCTTTTCCACAAAAAAGCCCCGATCGCGAAAATGACGATCGGGGCTTTTTTCCGGAAAAGCGCGTCTACATTGGCCACGGACGCTTTTCCGGAAAAAGTGCTTTTCCGGAAAAGCATCCTGCCAATGTAGATGCGCTTTTCCCGGAAATACTTATAACGGAAAATTGTTCCGTTTTAAGCATTTCCAGAAAAGGGTGCCAGTGTAGATGTAGCCTGTGAGTTTGGGTTGATTTTGGTCTATAGTTTGGGATGAATAAAAACAAGGCAGGGGAATTAAAGAGTCAAAATAGCTCCTGGCAGCATCATTTAAAAACAATTTGCTTTGACATTTTGTTTCAAATGAATGAGTTTCCCTTCAAAACGCCACTTCAAAACGAGGCTCAAAATATGTCATTGGACCCCACCTGAAATTTTTCAGTTGTTTCAGCAAGAAAAATAGAAAACTATTCCGTTTGGGTTTGAAACAAGCCACTCTTTTTTCTTCCAATCTTTTTTGTTTGACCACCAAACTGAAAAATCAGTTATGCCTCAGCTTTGCTCCCCGTCTCCAACCTGCCACTCGCTGTAAGCCCACCTGTTGTTCTGGCTGCCTCTCCACCAGCCGCTCCACGGGGGCAGGCAGCAGAGGCTCCTGGTGCCAGAGCTGACTCCGGTGGGAACAGAAACAGCTGAGCCTAAGGCTCTGGTGAAGCCACTTTCACAGACAGGCCACCACGAAGCAAGAAGACGATGAGAACTGTGGACATTTTGCGAGAAGCCACAGGAATGTGTTCACAGACCGGGAGTGTGGGGAGATCATTGCAGGGGCCCAAACCAGCTCTCGCTGCAGCCAATGAAAAAACGCCAGTTGATCTGGGAAATGGATCTTGAATCTTTCTTCATTTGGGTCCGGGGTTAGCGCGTGTGCTGAACCAGGGCCTTGCCTCGAGGTAATATAAGGGAGTTGCATTTTCTGAAGCATCAGGAATTGGCTGCTGCTGTTGGAAAGCTAATGGACCTGCTGGGCCAGTGATGTGGTCTAGCATATACTCCATCTCACGTCCCACTTGACATTCTTGATGGCATCTTTTTATGAGTCTCCACTGGAATCTGTACGTTAATTTCCCTGTCTTCTGCCCAGGAGAGGTGCATCTGTGTTGCCTGCAGCACTTAGTTTGATTCCTGATGCTCAGACAGGAACATCTGGGATGTTATGCAGTTGACTCGTCCTTTCAAGAGCCCTTTTTATTTCCAACATTTACCCACTTACCCACAAACAACAATATTTATGGAGAGAGCTGTCTGCTCAGACATAAATATTGCTGGCTAGGCTGTCTATGACAACTGCCACCCAGGCAGCAGCTCAAAATGTAGGCAGGTAACTCCTCTCCTGCCTTTGCAGCTAAACCCTTCAACAGATGCTGTCACCTTGCTTAGCACTAAGTCAGTGCTGATGGGCTATTGGGGGAGAGAGGCACTCCTCCTCTGGGCAAGAATAGCAAAACTGGGGAGGGGGAACTTATTTCCATTGTAAAATTCTTTTCACGTTTAGATGTCTGATTATTCAGAAACATAGCAATGGTATAGGCAATGCCAAGCAAATATGAGAGTCAAGACACTATGGACTGCACTTAAATACTGCTGGACTCAATCTTGCAGCCAGCATTCCCAGGTGCTGATTGGGATTTGGACAAAATGCTGGTGCACTGGAGTAATAGCTCCATCGTGTCTCTTCACGCAGATCTTGGGTCCAGGCACATGCTGCTTGCAGGCTTACTCACCCTTCCTAGTGTATGTGAGCTGAAATGGAAGAGTCTTAGCTCTACCATCCTTCACTTGCCAGCTGGGGACTCTGATCCAGCGTGGGGTGGCTGTCATTTGGGGTGATGTAGGAGGGCAGAAAATCACAAACCCACGGGAGGGGGAAAGAACTGTGACTCAGAGGTGTGTGTCTGAGAGTCACATGAGCTCTGTGGGCTACCACTGGGGGAGTAATGCTCACACCCTAGGAGTTGTTCCAGCTTCTGGACTGTGCGTAATGTCAAAACCCAGCTTCTGTTGACAGCCCAGAGATTTGTGGGGGAATAAGCAATGCAAGACTGGGCCCTGAATCATTTGACATGGTTACAATACGATTTCAAACAAAACTACGTTTTACTTAAACCAATTTGAACTTTTCAGAGAAAAGTGTTGACAAAACCAAAATGTTTGAATGACACTTTTTTGCAGATTTCATGCCTTAGAACAGAACAATGCCCCCAACAAATAATAAAAGACAGGGGACTTGGATTGTTAGTGCTTTGAGGGCAGAGACTGTCTTTTTGTTCTGCTTGTGCAGCACCTAGCATAATGAGGTCTTTGAGGAGGGCTCCCGGGCACTCCAGCAATATGATTAATGAATCATCTTCCTATATATTTTAGAAATGTGCATCTGTCTGCCCACCTGCCTATTTGTTCAAGAACTCCTCCTAAATGGTAAGGGCAAATTTGGGATGCAGCTTCCTCTTATCATAACTTAAAGCAAGATCAGGGTTTGGTTGTGCCAGGACAATGAGATGTGCCTGGAATTCGATTGTTTCTCATAAAATGGAAAGGGAGAGGTCTGGCAGGAAGGACAGTTATACTGCAGAATGACCACAGGGAGGCAGCAAGGGGCTAGACAAGGGGACCAGGACAGCTATAACCCCATTGGGTCAGCAGGGGGAGAAGTGGAGAAAGGGACAGCTTATTTGAGTTAAGGACCCAAGCAACATCTGGGAAGTCTTCTACAGGTTGGACCTACAACCTCAGGACATGACCAGTCCTGGATGAAGGATTTTGCCGGACCAGGAGGAGTCGATCTGGCCCCTCTGCCACCAGCTCCCTTCAGCCCTGGCCCCACCAGCAGCCTCCCAGCCGGCTCCACCATCTTGCTGACCCCGCTGCCCTGACGGCACCCGCTGCCATGCCTGGCAACCCTGCCACCTCCGTGTGCACCGGGCTCTCACTGCTGCACCCAACTCCTGCTGTCATGCCGGGCAGCCCCACACCCTCCACGCACATTGGGCTCTCGCTGCTGCACTGGGCTCCTGCTGTCATGCCGGGCAGCCTTGCAGCCTCTGTGCTCCTGGCTCCCTCTGACCTACTGGGCAGCCCCACTATCGCGCGTGGGACTCCCACTGCACTGCCGGGAAGCCCTGCTGGTGCACCGTGGGTGCCTGCTGCCCTGCCAGCCTCCGGGGCTCCCAGTGCTATTTCTCACGGGGACTCTCTGGTCCTGGAACATCCCAGGTCTGCCAGACCAGAGAATCCCAGTTAAGAGAGTTTCAATCTGTAGAACAATAATGTATGAAAGCAAGTGACTGTATTGGATGATCTTCCTTCCAGCTTACTTTATATGGCCTCCTATCAGCTAGGTATTGAGCTGCTGTATTTGTGGTAAGAAAATATGTAACTATCTGATATCTAATCGCTTCTTTAAAAAGGGCGATTACATGGTACTACATGAAGCCTAATTTAAATTCATCTGACCACACTGTTATTCCATGTTATTATGGAACAGGTTGGAGACAAATGTTTTATAGTAATTCTAATTTCCCTTAAATTGCCTTATTTCATGCTTTCTAACAAATGTACACATTGCATCAAGGATATTGGTGGGTAGCTTGTCTTGTTCACAGTTTATCATAGGAAATGAAAGTACTTTTTTAACTTTTATGCTTCTCCCGTGCATATTTGCTGGACACCCCCGATAAGTACAGAGAGATTTTTCCTTAGGGCATCATAGACAGTAAAGCTGGGATTAGAGGTGGTCCAAAAAAATTCAGACAAAAATATTTTTTTGGCAACATTTGCTGATTTGGCAAAATTGAAGTGTTCCGTGGAGACAATTCAATTTTGCTACAGTTCTGACAGAATCAAGGATCCCCAGCCACGTGGACTGCCCTGCAGATGGAATCCCAGGAATTCCAGCATCCCTGGTCCAGGGGTGGTCCACCAGGTGGACTGAGTCAGAATTGAAGTTTTAATCAGAACAAAACCAGGTTTCACAATATTAAAATCCTCCAAGGAACAGAATTATCTTTCTCCACCCAGCACTAGCTGGGCTGTCCAGGAACGCTCATCATTGGCCTGTCTACTCCCACTGCAATTTAGAAGCCGAGTAAGGCTAGTTGTTAATAATTTCAGCCTACAGTTATAATACCGAAAGACTACCTAGAATAACGTGAACTAGAATAATGTGACAAGCCTCAGAGAAGTAGCCATGCTAGTTGGGATCTACAAAAACAAGGAGCCTTTTGGCATTTTAAAGATTAACAGATGTATTTGGGCATAAGTTTTCGTGGCTAAAAAACCACTTTGTCAAATGCAATAATGGTGCCACCCAGAAATGATCATTTTGTATTACAGAAGCTTCTAGAATTCAAGCCCATTTGGTCCTAATTCTTAGCTCCCCAGAGCTAGTGATCTCCCTAGAGTAACTTCAAATGTCTTCTCCCAGCACAGCACTCAGGAACTAAATACAGTACACACCTCACATCACCTCAAGTGAGAGATTATTGTGCCATGGTAGGAGAATACCATAAACCTCAAGAGGAAATGTAGCATAGCCAGGTGGGGTGAGGGCATGGCCAGCCCGTCCACTGCATTCCTGTTGAGTGACCGGCAGCTGGCACTGAAAAGTGAGCTCCTGCTCCACTCTAAAGTTGTCATAAGGAGCATTCAGCCACACAAATCCATGAGTACTCCATGGGGTAGGATATTCCAGAGCACTGCCATAAGGTACTGCAGCGGTACAATCACTCCAGAGAGGAAGGTGGCAAGCAATGGGCCACAGATGTCTAACATGAAAGCTCTGTTTTGTTCCTGTCAAGGGAAGTGTCAACCTGTGGCGAATGCGTGCTCTGGGAAGGGAGTTCTTCCTCTCTGAGATAAGTAAATCCCTGACACCGCTCCTGGAGCTATGGACACTTTCCTACATGGAAGGTAGGAAGACACCGAATTTAATGTCTCCCATTTTCTAACTACTTCAGGGGTTGCTTTTGCACCATTTTAGACTCTGATTCTGCTCATTCAAAATTTGTTTGTTCCACACACAAAAAAAACCACCCCCAACCTATCACATACCCACCCTCAGGGTATGTCTGCACTACCACCCTAGTTCGAACTAGGGTGGTAGTGCAGACATACCCTGATTGCAAATGAAGCCCGGGATTTAAATATCCCGGGCTTCATTTACATCTTGCCGGGCGCTGCCATTTTTAAATCCCCGGTAGTTCGGACTCCGTGCCCGCGGCTACACGCAGCACGGAGTAGGTAGTTCGAATTAGGCTTTCTAATTCGAACTACCGTTACACCTCGTTCCACGAGGAAAGCCTAATTCGAACTACCTACTCCGTGCCGCGTGTAGCCGCGGGCACGGAGTCCGAACTACTGGGGATTTAAAAATGGCGGCGCCCGGCTAGATGCAAATGAAGCCCGGGATATTTAGATCCTGGGCTTCATTTGCAACTTTGATTGACTACATTAACCACCCTAGTTCGAACCAGGGTGGTAGTGTAGACATACCCTCACTTACTTGGAGAGAACGATTTTCAGAGGCAGAAGATAAATGTCATGTCAAACATGGTTTGGAGGGGAGTCAGCTAAGTAATTCCTGGCTTCCTCTGACCGTCTCCAGCTGTTGTGTCCCACTGTAATTTGGCAGCTGTGCATTGCCTCAAACTAGCTGCTATTTAGGCAGATCAGATCAATACTTCTAAACACTTGTCGGATGTAATAATTACTAGTCCAGGGATTCACACTTCTACTCCCATGGATTGGACACACTGGCTGATAATGATCTGTCCATTCACCCATGATCAATCATTTACTCCTCCGTAACAGATTGGAAAGGAAATGCAGAAAATGAAATGATATGCTGGGAAAGAAATAGGCCACAATTCAGCAAAGCCCTTTAGCACGGAGGTCCCATGGAATATTAGGTGAATGTACATAAGTTCTTTTTGTCTAGGATCATATATGTCCAAGGCATGTGCTCCAGAGATGGGAGAAAGATTCCTTAGTTACAACCAATCCAGTTTCTAAAGCTCAAGAATTATGGTTTATTATGAGGATTTACATTGCGACAGCACATAAGAGCCTCAGTCAGGCCAGGACCCCATTGTGGTAGGCTTTCCATGGAAAATTTTGATGCTTCACTAAAAAATGAACAAAAAAACCAAAATATTTTTTATTCTCAGATGCTGTGCTTGTGTCTTATAGGTGTTTGCGTTTGTGTGCTTTGTGATTCCATTCTCCTCTGTGGACCAGGATTCCCAGCCGAACTGCATCTTCCATGATGCACGATGGCCATAGGACTGCCATGATATATGGCCTCTTCTCCCCATAATAGGAGACTGTGGTGCATCACAGGATATGTAGTCCAAATAAAGAGTCCAGGGTGTAGAAGAGCATGAGGCTTCTGAACTACATGTCCCATGAGGCCCTGTGGTGCATTTCAGAATTGAAATAGATTTAGTTTTTATTCAGACATCTTGATAAAAACCATGAAGGGGGTTGTTGATTTTGGCACTAGTTCTTCCAGAAAAAAACCTGTTTTACAAGTGGTTTTAATGACTATATTTTAAATGACCAAAGTACCGAGTATGATACCCAGTACACTAAATACAGTGACTACAGACATGGGTTGCAACTTCTCATCAGTTGCTGTACTGTATACTGGCCTCACATTTCCAAACAAACGTCCTCCAACAACAGCCAGTGGGGGTATGTATCTGGTATTGTGCATCTTCCCTGGCTGCTATACATCAATTCCAGGTCTGTATGTTAATTTTTTTATGGCTGTCTTCCCTTCAATTTTCTACAGGTTTCCCACAATGGCAATAAATGACTATCGATTTTGAGGTTGCTATTTTTGAAAGAGCAGCGCTGGAGACGTAAGCATAAGCTCCTTGACTACAGTAAATAGGTTGGCAAGTAAATGTGCAGCACTGGGCAAAATTCTCCTCTGAGAGCCACACAAGTGATCTCATCACGTCAACTGTAATATTCTGCTTTCCATACAGGCAGGGAGCCTCCCATTAACTTCAGCTGAATATTGCACAAGTAAGGAAAGCAAAATACCAGAGCCAAGATGTGCTGTAGGGAGAGGTAAATGTTGCCAAAAGTTGAGAAATCTGTCCCTGTGCAGCAGTGAATGAAATATATGTTTGAGTGGGAGAGCTAACATGGACAATTACAGCCAATCAAATCAGGAAACACAAACAAGCATTTAAAGGGAAGATTTTCTTTTAAATATATAAGCTGGAGTGAAATGTGCTGCTCTCTGACTGGCAACTTGGATTTTTTTAAAAAAACCCATAGACTGAATTACAAGCTTAATTTGTGAAGCAGCACTTGAAGCAGCACTTGAAGTGGAACCACTTGTGCTCAGAGAAGACTCCATTTCATTACAACAAAAAAACATTCCCTTCTACAATTGGTTTATGGATCGAATACAGTATCTCTAGAGAGGGAAATAGATTAGCTGATCTATATCTGTGAATGACTGTTTGTGCTTATGCATTCACACACATACTCCCCCCACCCACCACGCTATGTGCATTTGACATTGTAATGTTCATTATTAATTTGTTTATTGCATTCAGCTGTGACCTGGAAGCTTTACAGATAAGGTACCTTCCCCCAAAGAACTTTCAGTCTAACTGGCCCCGGCACAAATGAGGGCTGAAGAATGGGATATACTAAGCAGCAGTATGACTGAATGAATGAGGACATTTTGCATGCTGGCAAGATTTTTTTTTTTATTCACAGATATTTAATCATTTGACTTAACACTTCTCTGCGGGATAAATTATGTACCCTAGGAAAAAAGTGCATTTGAATGTTTGATCTTGAGGACAAAGGAACTGAAGCATGAATTGGGAAGGAGGAAGTGGGGTAATCATGGACAATTTGGAGGCATAAGTGAAAGGAAAAACCTGAGTGGGTGAAGGAGGGAATCATAGAATCATAGAATACTAGGACTGGAAGGGACCTCAAGAGGTCATTGAGTCCAGTTCCCTGCCCTCATGGCAGGACCCAGTACTGTCCTAGACCATACCTGATAGACATTTATCTAACCTACTCTTAAATATCTCCAGAGATGGAGATTCCACAACCTCCCTGGGCAATTTATTCCAGTGTTTAACCACCCTGACAGTTAGGAAGTTTTTCCCAATGTCCAACCTAAACCTCCCTTGCTGCAGTTTAAGCCCATTGCTTCTTGTTCTATCCTCAGAGGCCAGGAAGAACAAGTTTTCTCCCTCGTCCTTGTGACACCCTTTTAGATACCTGAAACCCGCGATCATGTCCACCCTCAGTCTTCCAGTTTCCAAACTAAACAAGCCCAATTCTTTCAGCCTTCCTTCATAGGTCATGATCTCTAGCCCTTTAATCATTCTTGTTGCTCTTCTCTGGACCCTCTCCAATTTCTCCACATCCTTCTTGAAGTGTGGCGCCCAGCACTGGACACAATACTCCAACTGATGCCTAATCAGTGCACAGTAGAGTGGAAGAATGACTTCTCGTATCTTGCTCACAACACACCTGTTAATGCATCCCAGACTCATGTTTGCTTTTTTGGCAATGGCAAATGAGCTCAAACTAGAAGAATTATTCAGGTTCTGGAAAACCTGTCTTGCAGTGAGAGACTCAAAACTCAGTCCATTTAGCTTCTCCAAACGAAAGTTGAGTTGATCATGATACGTAAGTACTGATGTGGGGAGAAGATTTCTGATGATAGAGGGCTTGTTCATTTAGCAAAGAAAAGCATAGTGAGGTTCCATAGTGGGTGGAAGCTGGAAATTTAAAACAGAAATAAGATGCATTTTTTTAACAGTAAAGGTAATTAACTGCTGAGTAAGGTGGATTCTCCAGCACTTGAAGTCTTTAAATCAGGACTGGATGGGTGTCTTTGTAAAATAATACGATGGCTCAAACAGAAGTTATGGCATAATGCAGAAATTCCTGGGAAAATTCTATGGTCTGTGCTATGTGGAGATCAGACTAGACAATCCAAATGGTCTCTTCTGGCCGTAAGCTCTACAAACCTGTGGAAACTGAAGAGAGAATGGAGACTTAAAGAGGAGCACGATAGTGCAGGGCCTGGAATGCAAGACATTTGGATGCGGATAGTGAAAGGAAGAGAAACAGGGATTTATTTAATCTGGGGCTAATATAGCTGCTTTCTGTTACTTTCTTGTAGCCATCTGGTGTGACCGCATCACATGGGGAAATCACACTCACAATGCAAAGTGTAGGCATCCCCAGAGACAGTAACTCTAAACAGAGAGGGATGGGTCAGGCCTGGGGAGTGATCCAAGGGCAATTTGCATTGACACGACACTCAAACAACAATTGAGGTCTGATTCTGAGTTCACTTGCATCACTTTTACACCGATGTAATTTAGTTGCCTTCAGTGGCGCTACCTCTGGTTTGCACTAGCATCCGCAAGATTAGAACCAGGCCCCCCAAGGTATAAAAGCAACAAATCACATTTCAGCCACTCCATGCCCAAAAATAAATGTAGTCAATCTTTTCCAAAATACTAGACTGATGGCAAAACAGTTAGAATTCAGTAAGTTAGGCAATATTGCACTGAATATAAATGAGAGTTATAAGATAAATGACATTTAGTGACATTAATTAACTGATTAAATTAAACTTGATATTTTAATCAGAATTTGTTTATGCAAAGCTCTGGATAAAAAGTATAGTTTAACCTAGTTACTTTTAAAATTCTGGTTACCATAACAACTTCTCCTGATATCAATTAAAGGTGGTCTTTTCTTTGCATTATTTTTAGAATTTTAGTTACCATAACAACAGGATGCCAACTCATTTGCAAAGAGTTAAAATATGTTGTTGTTCTTTGAGAGACAATCAAAATATGATAAGTGGGAAGCCAGGAATTAATACCCCCAAATGGCTGCGTGCACACATTTTTCAAACTCCTTACGTGTGGAATAAGAGACTTGAGATATTTCTGGGTGGCTCAGATGAAACGAGGCTATTTGCTGGTTGGGACGGAATGGGACCGCCAGACTCCAGAGGTCAAATTACAAGGAGGAACAATGCAAATGACAAATCCATTCATGCTAGGTCTCTTGCACTATCCTAGCAGTAAGACTAGGATTGGTCCTTTCTACAGAAGTTCCTCGCAATAGAAGGAACACCGAAAGGAGCCCCTCATTATGTTCCCAGGCTGGATCATTCTAGTCTATAAAGCCCAGGGGTAAAGCAGCCCTGAGCACTAGACCTGCTGAGTACACAGGCCACATCAGCTGAAACTTCCAGATGCTCCCTGGAGGATACTAGGTGTATGTTCATTGATGCAACCTAATCTTACCACTGTGGCTTGAGTGATCAAGGCAAGATCCACAAATGAGTGAAAAGCACATAGCCAGCGTGCCAACCACATATAGAAAGGCACTGCTACCACTTGGTGTGAAAGGGGTAACCCGCAATGCCAAGGCCCCTCCTCAGTTCCATACCTGGCTCACACTACATGGGCAAGTTTGCAGAGCTGACATCCTCCTTGCCCCATTGTCTTAGCAAGATCATTCTCAGTCAAGTCCTTACCACAGCCAGATACCTAGGACCAGGGGTCATCCCATTGTCTTAGGGTAAAGAACAGACACACGATCTAAACGTTTTTGACTTGCCCCCAGCTCTGCAGCCAACACTGCCTCGCTAGGATTGAATGCTCAGAAGAGTGGAATGGGTGGAGCCCCTCACGGGAGGGAGAACTCTAGGGGTGTGTCTAGACTACAAGCCTCCGTCGACGGAGGCATGTAGATTAGACAGATCGGCAGAGGGTAATTAAGCCGCAATTAAAATAATCGCGGCTTCATTTAAATTTAAATGGCTGCCCCGCTCTGCCGACAAACAGCTAATCGGCAGAGCGGGGCAGCCATTTAAATTTAAATGGCTGCCCCGCTCTGCCGACAAACAGCTAATCGGCAGAGCGGGGCAGCCATTTAAATTTAAATGGCTGCCCCGCTCTGCCGACAAACAGCTAATCGGCAGAGCGGGGCAGCCATTTAAATTTAAATGAAGCCGCGATTATTTTAATTGCGGCTTCATTTCCCTCTGCCGATCTGTCTAATCTACATGCCTCCGTCGCCGGAGGCATGTAGTTTAGACGTACCCTAGGTGTATGAGCCAGTGTCCAATGGAGGGACCTCGTATAAGGAAGGAGGACAGTGAAATAAATGTGATCCCATCCCCCTCTGTTATGGCTCCCAGTTGTGTCAACAAATCCTTGTGGTCACTGGTATCAAAGGCTGCTGCAAATCAGGCTGGGTGTCTGAATGTATAAACTGTTATGAGATCTCTCTGTCGGTCCTAAAGAAGGAACAAACAGCAGCCTTCACGCCTGCCTAGAGAATGCAGGAAAAAAAGGAGCCAGATTAGGTTTCTCTGTTATTGCCCGTTGACAGCCAGAAGAGAAGGGGGTGTGACCCACATTGCATTGCTCTGTGCTATCCTTGCTCTAGACAAAGAGCCTGAAAGTAGGAGGCTAAACCCTGGAGTCCTGGTTTCATGGAGAGCCCCTTTCTTAATGAGGAAGGAGGCGCCAGTGGCCTTGGTTGTGGCGGATTTGGGTGTGCTCTTGTGACTGGGTGTGATTTAATTAGAAAACAATAGAAGTGTCAGCTGCCATCTGTTAACAGGCTGGATTCCCCACCCCCTTCCCTGGTTCTTCCTCAACTGCAAACAAAAAAAGGGAAGGGAAGGCCGGGGAGGAAGCTGTTGTAAAATGCTGTCTTCTATAGCTTCCTCCTGTGCTTTCTGGGACATCTATTAAGCCAAACACACTCATTCCAGTCAGCGCTGGGCGCTGGGTTGTGGCAAATTCCACTACAAAAGAGAACTGGATGTATCAAACATTCCCCTCCCCGTGACAGCCTTATTATCCTTCCAGGGAGAGAGAAACAGGCTGCTTTGTATCTGATCTAGGTAATTAGTGCTGATGAACTAATAATATTCCCTTTTTGCACCCCCATTGCCGCTCCCCTCCCCCAGCCCTAAGAGGAGACCCTGGGTTGTGGCAAATTCCACTACAAAAGAGAACTGGATGTATCAAACATTCCCCTCCCCGTGACAGCCTTATTATCCTTCCAGGGAGAGAGAAACAGGCTGCTTTGTATCTGATCTAGGTAATTAGTGCTGATGAACTAATAATATTCCCTTTTTGCACCCCCATTGCCGCTCCCCTCCCCCAGCCCTAAGAGGAGACCTCTGAGTCTTTTGCAGATTCCTGGAGATACCCCTGCACTTTAAGCCCTTACCTCTGGGCCATGACTGTCACGTGGCACCATCTACCCTTTTCATTTTACTCGGAGACATTTCACAAAATTCGCAAGTCCTTTTATAACAGCTGGGAAACCAGAGCTCTTTGCATCCGCTGGGTTTGCACCAGCATTGCGGGTGCTGCTCTCCGCTACCTTGGGACAGGATAGTTTTATTGTGGGGCAGTGGAGAGAATTCGACAGGCTTAACGATGGCCCTGCCTGACCCGCTGAGCTAAGACTTGTGTTGAGATCCAGCAACATCTCCGTTCCACCACCTGTCTGCAGTTCTGCTGTAGTCTCAGAATGCAGCAGCCTTTGATATCCACCCTTCCCCACCCCCCAGCAATGCCAGTGCTCACGTTTGGTGGCACCAGGAATACACTACTTATAAATTGGATACATGTGGCTGGTCAGGGCACTCCTGGATTAATCAGTCAAGGAGGGTCGATACTGAGAGCAACACCAGACATTTCTGCTACGCGCCGAGCATGCAGCTTCAGCAATGGATACACAGGAGCCTGCTTTTCAGATATGCAGAGAGCCCACAATCCAGAGTCAAGTCAGCGGGATACTCAATGGATGCCGACTATCTAATTACTTATCACAACCCCTGGAAGAAAGCTTCAGCAGTGATGATGTCATACAGTCCCTCTGAGTTTTATCTCCAGTCACTGGGGTAGTCACTTGTTTGGAAATTAGGGTTGTTTT